CATATGGAAAAAAGTTGCATCTTGTTGTCCACACCTCCAGCACTTGGATTCATAATTCTCATAAATACGAGACATAGTTGCAGGATCCATGTGCCATCTATAAAACATCTTATAAAAATTCTCACGTAGATTTTGTGCCTGCGTAAATTTCACATTTCTCACCCATATCAACTCCCAGGTATCCATAGATATTATTTCTTCTTTATCAGCTTCTTACATGATTGCAATTGTTAATATTTACCCAAAATTCTAATCTGGATCTTTGGACTGAACAGAGGCTATTTTTGGCAAAGAGCTCCCTTATTAATGATATAATATGTCATAATGCTTATATTTATTTATAACATTTATAAATCAATTTATAAAGCTTCCAATCAAGAAGATAATTAACTTATCTCTCAACCAGATGAGGGAAAAGCTTTTTTTCTTTTTTCTTTGTAAACCAGTGATTCTTCAAGTATTGGGAATTCATCCAACTCTCTGGGTTCTGTAGTGTTTCTCTTGCCTTCAGGTGACTGCTAGATTGGTCATACTATACAATATAAACAGAGAACAGGAGTGATTTTCTCTAAATTTATACTATTAAAAAAGAGGGTTATATAAAAATGTATTGGTTGCATAGTTCCAAGTAGGGCAACCACAATGTATTTATTAAACATAAAGTAGTTTAAATTTGTAATTTGTTTTAAATAGTCTCTAATTAATGGAATAGGAAATACTAAACTTTTTTTCTTTCAGATCATATCTTCAAGAGTACTGGTATTCAGTGTCATATCTATATTTCAACACATTAGGTGCTTTGATTACATTTATTATGGGAACAATTATAAGTTTAATAACAGGTAATTCTAACTAATTTTTATTTATGGAAATTTACATCCAGTTTATTAAAAATTATCTTGCAATCTTCGCTGATGTATTATATCAGTGATATTGTAACACACAAATAATATATAAGAATGTAGTACAAAAAGCTATTTATCAGTGTTTTTCTTGACCAAGATTTACATTAGTAATTACTGACCTACTTGATTTATAAATCAACTTTAAGTAGAAACATGTACTTAAAATGGCTTTGCAAAAAATACTCACTTTTTAAGAAGATGTTTATCAATCATCATTGTCATTCATTCTTGGGTCTTTGAAAAACCCTCTTCTTGCTCCCATCTATCTATTAATGTCACTGAACACTGGATTGTATTCATCCAGAACTTTGTAAAAAATTTCCTCAAAACTCATCCCTGGTTCTTTTATTATCACCATTCAATCAGAGCATAATATGCAGCTATCATCAATCTAGAAAGCCCTGTTTTCATATGCCTCCAAATTACAAATTCCTATTTTCTGCCATTCATTTAGGCCTTTCATTCGTAATTAACCATATACCTTCAATTCTATGCATATCTTCATCAACTACTTTCTTATATATACAGAGTCATTTCTTGTGAGATGGATGGCCATAACATTTTGATAAATAAATATATCAGCCTCTGTTGCTGATAATGTAGAAAGAATAGGTAATAACTTAAAGATCAGAAGGAATTGCTGCTACCAAGGCAAAGACTGAGCTTGAGTCCATGTGAAGAAATAACTTGCCCTTCCTAATTCACACAAAAATAAAATGAGAGAGGGGGAAAGCACATTCAAGACTTGCAAGATTGTGTTACTATAGCTGTTACAAAAAAAGTAGCACCAATAATTATTTTGGGGGGAAAAATCTTTTCTTGTTAAGTGCAGTAAATACAGTATACTAAACCTATGGATAATGTGTTGGGCAATTGGCAAACAGATCCCAGGTATAAAGTGCCTCTTTATTTTGTATGGCATTACTTCCAAAACCATTTCCAAGTTCCATTTTTGTTTCAGCATTTTATGTTTGGAATGTTTAAAATAATACAAAGATGATCATATCAGTGCTTAAACTACAGAATTTTGGTTTATATTATTAAACTTTCTTTTAGGAGGTTTAAAAAAGGAGGTAGACCACAGACTTCTGTTTACAAGAAAGGATTTTATGGTGAACATTCAGTACTGGAAAAACAAGTTTGTAAGTATGGTTTAAGAGTGCTATTGATGTACCTATTTCCGGTTAGATAATATGCAAATAGAATATTTGTAGCTTTAATTTTCAAAGTTTCATTTTAGATATCTGGTACAAATTTGAGTTTACCGGACAGTTCACTATCCTTGTTTCAAGTATTAATTATCAGTGACTGGATAATGTTTACTAAATATGTAGGATGTGGTTCATCTAAAGTATTTCACTCTTGTGAACTTCAGGATCAGATTACAAGGCAATTAAAATAACCTTTTTACAATTAGATCACAATGAATTAGAGCAGGGGTGTCAAACTTGCGACATCACATGACATGTTGCGACATATCAGAACTTTTTTTCTATTGCCAGCAATGGGGTGGGCGCAGTTTTGGTATGACGCATCTGGCCCACGGGCCAGCAGTTTGACACCCCTGAATTAGAGCAAGAGGATTTTGGGTATTCTCCAACCTCACTTGTTTCAGTGGAATTAAAAAATATATATTAATAGATCTGTGCAGATTTGATTTCAGTAAGATTCTTTGAAGAACAAAGGAATGGAAATGTAGCAATTAACAGCAACTCTTTGGCGTAGATGCCACAAGTTTTTCCCCCCCCCGGGATCACAGGGTGCCCGCAGAGTTCAGCCTTTGCTCAAGAAAAGCTTGCTTTAAAACGTTTCAGAAAAGTACTACATTTCTGCTTTTACATACCTTGAGGCATGTGGAATCAAATCTGAAATGCTACATATTCCCTTTTTAATGCTATCCTGATACTTTAAAGCAGGGGTGTCAAACTGCCGGCTCGTGGGCCGGACACGTCACGAGGAAACCACGGCCAACCCATTGCCGGCAATGGGGAAAAAGCTCTGATACGTTGCGTGCCGTCATGTGACGTTGCGAGTTTGACATGTCTGCTTTAAAGGCTAGAACTTTATTGAACTTCTGTAAGTCCTTGAAGAATGGACTTTTCCTCTGAGTATTGAGCTTCATTGTAATGATGGAAGTTGAACAAATGGGTTGCTCTGTTATTTTATATCTGTTTCCTGCTATTTTTTTCCCTGTCAGTTTTGCTTTTGGTTTTAGTACTGTATTAGCTACTCAGTTTTAGTTTGTAAGATGGGTGGCCACATAAATCAAATTGGTAAATAAATAAGAATGTGGCCTTGGTACAAAGTCTATTTAGTAACTGTTATGTTGTTTTTAATTTGTATTACATTTGCAGTCAGCAAAACAGGTTGCTCCTGAAGAAGGCTGATTCAGAGGACAAAACAGAAGAGCATTTCTATAAAATAACTTCTGTAAATGAAACCCATGGAATATAGTAAAGCTGAGCATTTAGCAATCTTTGATTTTTACTCAGTGATATTTGAATTGGAAAATCTTTATTTTTCAATAATTATTGAAATTATTTTGGTTGTGTTATTACCTGATTATCAAAGCTTAAGCATGTTTTTATGGTAAGTTTATAGAACTGCAAAACATTATAAAAGTTTAATATATAACACTCCATTATTTATTGAAGAACCTTAAATTTGTTTTATTTGCTTTTATGTAACACTATTAATGCTTTACAAATAATAAATTCTAAATTTTGAACCTAAATTTTTAGAGTAAATATTGTTAAGTAACAAAATATTCACACAATATAAACCACAAAAAGAATTTGTCCTTGTCCATATGGGTATTTTGTATTGTTTTTCTGTTTTTCATCTCTTTTCCAAAAAGCTTTGTAATTTACAATGCATAAAAGGCATCCCACTGACTATTATATAGCAGTATTATATGATGGCGGTTTTATTTTTAATGAAAGTCTATTAAAGGATGTTGCAATTTCAACTAGTATATTGAAATTACAATCTTTACCATTCTGCCCACATGCATGAAAGAATTTTTTAGATTAGTGCCTTCTTGATTGAAAATTGATCAGTTATGCATGTCCTTCAACCATCCATATTAATAATAAGCAAAAATTCAGTGTAAATCTGATACTTGGCATGTCTAGATTAAGGTTTTTAAAACTGTTCTTGGAACACTGTTTTCCACAAGAACATGAGCCTATTTAGTGAGAAATTAAGAACAAATAAAGTTCATCAGGAGTGGCCATAACAATTTTCCCAAGGTACAGCAGAAAATATGGGACGTCAATTGAAGCTCTTCCTCCTGATTAAAGGTTTTGGGATTTGTTTATATATTTAACTAACAGGTTCCTCAGCCTGGAAAAAAGTTTGAAAACATTCTCTCCCTGGTCCATCTAATTCTGATTTTGCAATATCTGCAGTTTCCAATGCCCATTTCTCCTGAAATACCAAGAATGAAAACTGAGTAACATTTTCATGTTCTTCATTTCTAACAAGTTAATACTTACTTAGGACTCCTTTCCACTTTTTGAGAAAGCCCTCAATATTTTGGAGTATTAATAATAACAAAGAGGCACTTTGTAACGTTCCACTATTGTATTAAAAACAATTAGACCAATGGAAAACAGAAGGAATAAAGATGTAGTTAGAGGGCAAATGGGCCTTTTGGAGGACTGGTTACATTGGATTAGTGTCTTCAGTGGGTAGGCATCAGAGATCCCACTCACCCTTCTCCATTAGATTTGGATAGTTTCTCTGTTTCAGAGACCTTGTATCCTGTGCTGAGCCATTCCCCCCCCCTTCCTGAGCAGCTTTTTCTGCAGTACACTTCCCTAATAAGTGCTAATGGCAAATTAACTAGCTTTTAATTAGTTGTTTGCTACAGCTGGCACTGCTGCCTAAAATTAGCAAGATCCCTGCCTTGACCTTAATAAGTTAACAGCTGATGGGTTTTGCCTCCTGAGTGTATACTAGGCAAACAACTAGCCTTATCACTTTCTTTTCATGTGACTTCCATATTACACTCCTTACTTGTAATTTGTTCCTTTCCAATAAAGTAAACACAAATGATTTCCTTCTTGTTAATTGCGTCAGCACTGGGGTGAACATTCCAAAGGGCAGGGGAATGGGGAAAATCTGTAAGATCTGCCTGGCAATCCCAACTTCCTTGTGACTACTTCTGGAGGCTGTCCTTGCCACTTGGACTCAACAAGGCAGATTGAGGAAGGATCCCCTGGTGCTGTGGGTGTGTTTCAGTACAATTTCTGAATAAACTTTATTAGCCTGGAATCTCCCTTGATGTTCTCATTCTTTGGCAGCCATCTTGCAAATTCTAAATAAAGTATTGATGCACGAACTACCAACAACTTCTTTTTAAGCAGGGAAAAGCCATAGAATGATATAGGGAATGTCACTGGAGCCCTTCAAAGTAGCAACTCATAATTAACTATCTTGCTTTGAGATGGACTAATCACCTGGGAGAAAGCTTCTTCAGGCTGTTTTTATTGCTTGGGACTAGGAAGGGGTGAATCCCACTAGAGATGTTTTCAACTAAATAAAGCCTAAAGTCAGACTGAAGACTGGATATCTTTTCAGTCATCCTGCATAGCAAAATCGTAAGACTATATAATCAATAAAATATAATTTAGAAAAGGAATAGTAAACAACACATAACCATTTTTATAAATAGAACATAAACAAGGAAATTAATAGGAGAAAAATAAAGTACCATAAATCTGTCAATAACTATTGCAATTAAGTTTTTAAAAAAATCACCAAAAGAGAAACAACACTAACAATAACAGCCTGGCAGATTCAGATTGGAAAGACATGTTAGAATGACTACTAGATTATAGGAGAACCCTGTGGTTTTGTGCTCATTTGGGGAATTTTTTAAGGTGCCAGAGAATATATACCTGATAATTATTCTAATTTTGGGAGCAAGCAATTTCTTAATACAATGGGGATTTAATTGAATAATATGTTTTAAAAGACAAAATCATAACAAACTTTCATAAAATGTTTTTTATTCTTTGAAAAATAAACACAAAAGCAGGAATTTAATTCATAATATGTTTTAAAGTTTATTATAACTGTAGGAATGCTAAATATAGCTTTATGATAATATTCTATAAGTGTGTAAAATTGATCTTGTTTTTATTTTTTGCTATTTACAAATAAACAATATATACATATTCATGAATTATATATAGCATTTTTTTAAAAAAAATCGCATATGCAAACAGTATGTCTAATGTACATAACAGTAAAAATGCTACTATAATATGCTTTGCTAATATATATTATATTAATCAGTGATAATGTTATATATTAATTTCTATTTCCAAACTCAAAAATGTCAGATGAAACATAACACAGAAAAGAGCAATCAGGCTGAAAAATGATCCAGGGTGTATACGTTAGGTTTGTTTGTTGGTTTGTGTCTTAAGACTTTTTTTTTTTAAGATTCAAAAGTAATCATATGCAGGCTGCCTCATTATTTCAAATAATAAACTCCTTGAAATGTTTTGCCTCATTTGTTCTTTTAAAATTGTCCATGAATTGACGTTGCATCATTTCCACTTTCCTGAAGACAGGGTTCTTAAGGAAATATAAAAAGGAAAAGAATATAGGTCTACCACTTGCAAAAATGAACAACACAATATCCAGACACTATTTTAAATTGTCAGAATATTGCACTGTGTCCCTAATCTAAATGAAGTGAATCTTGAGCATGTATAACTTATCCCCAGGCTTCAGCAGCATCAATATGAAAAAAGGAGGTGCTCTTTCTTTTTCTGTGGGTTTCCCTTCACAGAATCCCTTTGCTAGTCAGAAGGATATAAACAATAAAAAAAATCTTCCCCAGCTCTATACAGCACAAACAATAATCAGCTGTGCTCTCAGTAAAACCTTTATTCGTTAATAGTTTTTATTTCCACCTTTCTTTTCCAGTTAATTTTTTAGGATGCACATGCCTTTTCTATATTAAATATATATTACAATAATTAATCCTGAATCCTTAAACTTGTACTATGATTGTAATATGGTTACTAGAATGCTAAAAAAATAAAAGTTTCGATTTAATTTAAAACTGGATAGCTAATGCAGTATATTTCTTCAGTTTTTTCTTCTAGCTTTTTTTTTTTTTTGCAGCCTAGGGGATATAGTCAGATTGCAAGTAAGTATCAGATGCTACTGAGCATGGCATGCCAGTCCCCTCTTCCTTTCTATCTTTGGAAGAGGAGGTCCATGCATACACAACAAACAGGACAGGTTGGTCATATTTCCAGACCCAAAATGTATTGGCAGAATGATGACATATATGTCAAAGAAAAAGAAGAGAGATGCTAATATGTATAAAGTATACTGGAGCCACATGAAGGATGTTGGTGAAAATCCATCCTTGAAATA